GGGGCCCTCGGGCCGGCCGTCAGTCATTCGGCCTGGCAGCCGGTCACTGTCTGTCAGCTTTTCTGCCTGCCTGCCTGTTGTGTGTCTGTCTGTGTCTGTCTGCCTGCTTGCCGGTTGTGTGCCTGTCTGCCTGTGTGTCTGCCTGTTGTGTCTGTCTGTCGGCCTGCCTGTTGTGTGTGTGTGTGTGTGTGTCTGCCTGCTTGCCGGTTGTGTGCCTGTCTGCCTGTGTGTCTGCCTGTTGTGTCTGTCTGTCGGCCTGCCTGTTGTGTGTGTGTGTGTGTGTGTCTGTTGGCCCGCTTGCCTGTTGTGTGTCTGTCTGTCTGTCGGCCTGCCTGCCTGCTGTGTGTGTGTGTCTGTGTGTCTGTCTGTCGGCCTGCTTGCCTGTTGTGTGCCTGTCTGTCTGTCTGTCTGCCACCCCCGGGCCGGCTTGCACCTGGTAAGTCAGCTCCCAGGACCTCCTGTGCGTGTCTTACTAAAGATGGGGTGCAGAGCAGTTTACATGGGGGGGGCTTGGCTTTCAGGCACTGTAGAGACAGGGTTTGGTTATTTCTCGGCGGCAACTTTCCCCGGAAAGAAGTCCCCCCCCCCGCCCCTCCTCCCCCGTCCAACCGCGCCCCGCACACTTCACGCACTAAGTGTGGCCACAAAGGCCTTGGAATCGCGGTGGGGTCACGGGTCACCGGCCTTCAGCCTCTGCACGCACCAGCCCGGATCACCCGCACCGCGGCGGGCGAGTAGAATGCGCAAGGTCACTTTCTGGCCTTGATTCCATGTGAGAGGAAATCACCCGAGTCCGGGTCATTCCCACTGGAAAAGGTCGACCGTGGGTGACTGAGAAAATGTCCCTTTGCAAGTGACCTTGTGTGGCCTGTCACCTCCTGCAGCTCTGCCTGTGTGCGGTGTGACATGTTGATTTACACCTCGGGGCTGGCATTCGCTCCTTCCAGAAAGCACCTATTAAACAGTGATGGTAGTGCCCGGTACTGGTGGCTCCGGCCTGTAATTCCAGCTACCTAGGAGGCTGAGATCTGAGCATCATGGGTGGAAGCCAAATCCAACTGGGACAGGAAAGTTTGAGAGATTCTCATCTCCAATTTAAAAAAAAAAGTCATTTAAAGTCATTGACTTCTTAGCGGGATAGCTAGGATTCCTGTGTTTAACCGCTGGCGTGGTGGTGTCAAGACTTTCCTTTCTGAATTTAATTTAATTTAATTTAATTTTTTTTTCCTGTTCTGGGGATCAAACCTAAGGCCTCAGCGGCCAGGTGGGTAACTATACCTGCAAAATGTGGCTTAAACTTGTAGCTTCTGATACAAAGCGAATATAACAGGACAGTGTTTTGAAAAATAAAAGGGTCTGCATAGATTGCATTTCACTTTTGAAAATTTAATCAGTGAGTAGGTTACTTGTGTGAGAAGTTAGAGAAAAAGCGAGTGACTTCTGAATAATTTTCCTGGTGGGAAAATTCAATGTAGGGGCAGCTGGCTAGTTCCCTGAGATAATGTGGTAAAAGTGATTATCTATTTATTTATAGTATTTTCTTGCTGTTGTTAGACTTGTAGCATGTAACAGCTTGCTTCTTTATGCATGCTTGCGTTAGCCGTGTGCCTGTAATCCTAGCTACTCAGGAAGCTGAGATCTGAGGATCACAGTTTGAAGCCAGCCTGGTCAGAAAGGTCCATAAGACCCTTAACCTCCAATTTACCACTGAAACAGCTGGAAGTGGAGCTGTGGATCAAGTGGTAGAGGACTAGCCTTGAGCAAAAATGCTCAGGGACAACACCCCAGGCCCTGAGCTCAACCAGCAGGTGTGTGCATGAGCACCTCTGCCAAGGTGCCTTTCTCTGTACCAGCAGTATGGGGGCTGGGGCTTCGCGGGGGAGCCAGGAATTGCTGTGCTGTGAAGCCTGGATTAAGCTGTGTGTGTGTGTGTGTGTGTGTGTGTGTGTGTGTGTGTTAAAAAGACACTTCCAGTTTTGGCTCTGTAAGCAGAGCTTTGCCTGACAGAGTGCTTGCCCGTGGAGTACTTGGTTTATCATCTCGCTTTGACGCTGAGGTGAGGTGAGGTGAGAAGAGGCGGAGAGGTTCAGTGCACTCCTAAGTGTCACTTCTAAGTTGGCAAACTGATAAAAACACTTGCATCATCACAAAGTTACCGGAAATTCATTGACATGAGCAAGATTTAAACACAATCATTTTATTCTAATTGACCCCAAATAACATCATGACAATGTGTTAAAAAAAGTTTAGGTACTTATTTTTGTAATTATTGTTATTCATATTTTAGAAGTACTGGGGATTGACCTTAAAGCCTCTAAATGCTTGCTAGACAGATGTACCCTGTTGGCCAATTTTGCCCTAGGTGTATTTTTTTTTCTTTTTTTTTCACGTAGGATTCTTTGCTTGGGGCCAGCCTCTAATCACAAATCTCCTATGCATGCCTCCGGTGTAGCTGTACAGCAGGCCTATACCACAATGCATGGCTTGTTAATAGAAATAGGTTCTTGCTAACTTATTATTATTATTATTATCTTACTCTATTTTGTGCTTAGAACCCAGGATCTGGGTGCTGTCCCTGACCTTATTTAATCAAGGCTAGCACTCTACCATTTGAGCCACACCTCCACTTGCAGCTTTTTAGTAGTTTATTAGAGGTAAGAGTCTTACAGACGTTCCTGCCCAGCTGGCTTTGAACTGCAGTCTTCAGATCGCAGCCTACTGAGTAGCTAGGATTACAAGCCACCAGCATACCAAGGCTCTTGCCAAGTTTTTACCTTAGCCTAGCTTCAAACTGCAACTCTTATCTCCATGATTTCACTAGCTGGAATTACAACTGTAAATCACCATCCCTGCCCAGGGGTATTTTTAGGATTTTTGTTAAAGAGACCTCAGATTAAAGTCGTTAGACTCTTACCTAGAATACTTTATTAGTCTGGACTTCAAAACAACCCTGCCCCTGTGTAGATAGCTTTGTATCTAAGCATTGCAGAACTGTTTCTTTGTCATAGGAAGTAGATATAACCACGTTCTTTTAATTTTAGGGAAAATCCAGAAAGGACTTTTGACTTGGTACTGAAAGTGAAATGCCCTGCCTCTGAAAATGAAGGTATGTGTGTTCTTTTTATTCTTAAAATAATCGAGTCTGTCAAACAGGAGTTAATACTTTGGACTGCCAGCTGTGATAGCATTAGGAAAAAAATAGCTGTAAACTGACAATCAGGACAGGTCTTTGCCCTGGGGTTGTATTATCTGTGCTGTTGTGATTTCTTGCTTTGATGATAAAATTATCTTTAGTTACAGAGAAGGGGTGTGTCTTTTTACAGTCTGGCATTTGCATTTGAAAATCCAGCTCCAATTGTGTAACCGGGGTGCACATTCTCCCTGCTTAGATGTCTGCAACCTTCTGGAATGCAGATGGGAACTGAGTGGCCCTTCCCTCTCAGATTTATTTCAGCAGCACTTTCCTGGTGGTTAACAATAGGGTGGCAGTGCTTGGAAGTTCTGTACCGCTCCTGAGCAGACCAGAACACTGTAGTCCTGGAGTCTCGTCCCCTCTTGTTCTAGTGTGTGTGCTCTGGGGGGAACGGGGAGCAGAGGAGGATAAGGGCCATCTCCTTATTTGTACCGCGCCCTTGCGTGGTGCATCCTCCGGTACCTCCAGCCTGTGACTCTGCGGGACTGACTGTACTTAGGCAGCAGAGAGCACAGCGCGGTGTGGTACCGATGCTTGGCCGCCTCACAGCCTCTGTAGCCTCAGCCCCAGACACAACCTCTGTAGCCTCAGCCCCAGACACTAGCTAGCAGTGACCAACTCGGAAATAATTTGGAGCTGCACACCTTAAAATAGAGGAGCCCCGCCCGGGTGTCCACACAGCTGCACTAGGCTAACTTTTAGGGAGGAAGTCCACCCACATTTCCCACTCCACCAGCTGGGCCTGCTGGGCTTCTGGCCTGTTGTAGCTACAGCTGGGTGGGGTTTACCTCTCCTTAAAGAGGTCATCGTCTTTGGTCTCTGTGTGGTAACATGTGTCCATTTGCCTTCTTCCCAAGACCCCTCCACAGCTTCCTCTTTGCAGCCGGGGCCTAGCCTACACAGTACATACACAAGTGGAATGCTCACAAGATGCGTTTATGAAACAAGCCAGATTCTTTTGGAAAATATGGAAGCTCTGTAATTTTAAAAGCACAGTTTGTAAGTCCTAAAGTGATCGTGATGAAAGAATCAGTTTTCCCTTTATACCAACTGATCTCTGTGTACACGTGTTAGAGATCTGGACCTTCGCGTAAGGACTTGGGTGGATCTTTCCCACTGCCTTCTCTGGCCCTTTTTAGTTGCGTGAATGAGTTATTTCTGGAGGTGCCTCTGAGTTAATGACCTTCTGGTCTTTCTTTGCTGTTGTGTTTAAAGCACTGCTTTAACTCAGAGCATGGACACTGTTCTTGGGCTCTTTTACTCAGAGCTGGTGCTCTGCCACTTGAGCCACAGCTCCACTTCTGGCTTTTTTGGGGGAGGTTAATTGGAGATAATAGTTTCACTAACTTTCTTGCACTGGCTGGCTTCAGACCTCAATCCTAAGATCTCAGCCTTCTGGGTAGCTAGGATTACAGGTGTGAGCCCCAGAGCCCAGCTACATCACTACTTTCTAGAAACATCTTCATTTGTATTTTAACACTTTATCCACTCTAGTAATATAATTAATGGATAAATATTAGTGATTCCTCTGTGGGTGACATTTAATCCATGCTGTTGTCAGCAAATTCTAAAGTGTTAAAGTGTTTTTTTAAAAAAAATTTACAAGGCTGAATTCAACCAGGTTAAAAAAAATTAGCCTCTTTTAATTGTAATTTAAATTGTGTGAACATGACGAATATGATAGGGCCTAAATGTAATTAATGGACTGTAAGAGGGCTATAAAAGTAAAATTTTTGTTAAATTGGGAGTTTGGTTTTTTTCTTTTTCTATAATAACTTCTTTAATTTATCAAAGGAAATAGATATTTGTATCTCTTTTTTTAATTGTGAAAATACTGTACAGAGGGGTTACAATTACATGGGCATGGTTTTTTTTAATAATTTTTGTCAGCTTGCTCTTTATTGCTAAATATTAAAAGAGAAACATAATAACATTATTACAACATTTCCTGGAATATTCCAACTTAACTATCTGCAATCTGTTTGTCCTAGTAAGACATGTCAAAAGCAGGATTGTTTTACTCATCAACATTTACTTGTTCATGTGTAAAATTTTTGTAGCATAAGAGATAAAATGTGAGTTCAGATGCTTTGGACTGCAGTATAAAACTGGTTTAAGCTGGGCACTGGTGGCTCACGTCTGTAATCCTAGCTGCTCAGGAGGCTGAGCTCTGAGGATCTTGGTTTGAAGTTAGCTCAGATAACCTAAGAGATTTTATGTTCAGTTGGCAAAAAGCTGGAAGTGGAGGTGTGGCTTGAGTGGTAGAACATCAGCCTTGTGTGGAAAAAGCCAAGCAAAAGTGGGAGGCACGCGTTCAGGATCCAATCTTGGCGTGTGTGTACACACACACACACACACACATGCACACGCACACGCACGCACACACACACAAAAACCCCACTGGTTTCAAAACTAAGGAAACCCGGTAGTTCATATAACAGGAACCACAGAGATAAGTCACCGGTTATGTAGGTTTTGTAATGTCTGTACTCTGCCACCCACAGAAACTACCCCCTGAAGACCTGGATTCCTTGTGACATGGCTGATGTCATAGACGCCGGAACTCTGCTTTCTTGTTTCTGACTGGCTTTTCATGGCTTTCTTTGGAGTCAAGCACTTTCCCCCCATAAGGTCCCCTAGCAAACCTCTTCTTGGCTCCCAGTAGGCTGGCTTGTAGTAAGCCGGCTGCTGCTTATATGCAGTCATGGCGTGGTGAGAGGTGGAAGGCTGCGGGGAGACAGTGATAATTAACTTCCTAAACACCTGGTGAGGACTAGATGCTGGGAAATCAATGAAAACACTCCCTAAAAGGTTTGCCCATAAAACTGCTTTATTATTACTGTTTGGATGTCTGCGTGAGAAAATAGTAACCATGTTCAGGGTGCACTTGGTCTAGGCTGAGATCGAATGGTCTTTAATTTTCATGTTAGAGTACTTGGCATGCTTTCTTTTTGGTCATTTTGTAATAGAGTTTTCAATTCTGCCATTTATCTCAAATAACTCTTAAGTATCTTTAGGGACAAGGTATTAACTGTGTTACTTATCTGGGATCGAGATAGCTGTCAAACATGGCTTGACTTAGCTAGCTGATCTCAGTAAGCTGATCTCGCATCTGTCCAAGCACTGTTTGGGACTTTGCATTCATATTTCTGAACACAACCCTTTTTAGAACTCGAGTTTAAACCTGGCTGTGGAGGGGTTGGTACTGTTCCCCACCCCATTAGTGGAATTGGTGCTGGCGGGGTCCAGCAGACCGAGGTAGTAATGGAGATTTCCCTGACAGGACACCCTCCTGGTAACTCATGCAGCAGCCAACATGCAGATCTCATGTTCTTCCTGGCAGGTCTCTAACTACCTTTGTCACTCTTCTCTTTGCTAGCTTCCTTGCTTTCCAGAAGACAGGTGTGTGGGGGAGGGGAGGGACAGCCAGCAGTAGTGGCCCCTTTTCTGCTCACAGAACCTGTTGCTACCATCCCACCCCTGCTTGCCCTGCAGAGATTCAGGACTTCCCAGAAGCGAGTAACACGTTGAGCTGCTTTCCTCCAGCGTTTCTCTTCAGTACTGTGGCTTTTTCCGTTGCTGTGTCGTTGACTTCCTCTGGGCCAGGCTGTAGTTCTGAGGACGTTTAAAGTACTGGTTGTTTAAACCTCACAGAAACTTTAGGAGATAGGAAATGGTTTCGTTCATTCGGTACACACAGAAACTGAAGCCAAGAAGACCCTTGTCCAGAGTCAGGCTCTAGAATCCAATAGCTGCTCTTTTGCCTCCAAATTGTGTGGTGACCCCACCTACGTGCAGTGTGGCCCGTGTCAGAATATGAGGAAGTTGGTGGATCAGCTATGTGTGCTGCAGGGAAGTTCTGAAAACACCAGTGCTGTATGCGTCCTAAAATTAATGAACATAAAAATATACAAAACTGACTCTTGTCCTTCTGAGTTTAGATCCTTATTCTTTTAAGATTTATATCTGCATATTTAATGGATCTTTGTTCTAACAGTTCTGTTTATTAGCCAATCTTTTTGTTTTTTTTTTTTTTTGGGGGGGTGGTCTAGTCATGGGGCCTGAACTCTGGGCCTGGGCACTGTCCCTCAGCTCTTCAGCTCAAGGCTAGTGCTCTACCACTTGAGCCACAGCACCACTTCTGGCTTTTTGCTTATGTGGTGCTGAGGAATTGAACCCAGGGCCTCAGGCATGCAAGGCAAGCACTCTACCACTGAGCCACCTTCCCAGCCCCTTATTAGACAATCTTGTTTACTTTATTCTCTCCTATTTATCGAGAATAATTTTAGGAACAAACACCCCATTTGCTATAAATCTCTTACATTGGACAGCACACCCAAGTTGTTAGCAAATTATTCAGTTTTTAAATCTCTAACATACATGGACCGTGTAAGAACCTTTCACTCTTGTCACGCTGGTAATCCTAGCTACTCAGGAGGCTGAGATCTGAGGATCTTGGTTTGAAGCTTGCCCAGGCAAGAAAGTCCCTGAGACTCTTCTCTCTAGTTAATCACAAAAAGCTGAAGTACAGCTGTGACTCAAATGGTAGAGTTCTAGCCTTGAGCACCAAAAGTTCAGGGACAGCGCCCAGGCCTAGAGTTCAAATTAAAAAATAAGGGAGGAGTGGGGGAGAGGGGGATGAATTAGAACCTTAAACCAAAGAATTCTAAGTGAACTTTCCCTATGCCCTGCACAAAAACACACTTCTCAACTTTCTTACTTTTTTCTCTGTGGTGATACAATTGAGCAGAATTGAACATTTGCTTGTATTTTAGCAAGTGTTTAGCATAGTCTTACAAAGATGTCTGACTTAGTCATATAGAGAGACTGACTAAGTGTCTTTTGCCTGCTTTTGAAGTAAATTTCTCTTGGACCACATTTTTTCTTATCCTTAAGAAAACACCTACCAAAAA